CGAGGAAAAACGGTGTACTATCGACTCGGATCGTCGGCTCTGATGAAGACGAAGACGTCGAAACGTTAGCTGAATAAGACTGTTTATAAACCTCGTGTAAGCTTATCAAAGGAAGAATACATAATATATCTGCTATAGTCAGATTTAGGATATTCTTCATTAAGACTATGAGAGATGCTCAGGTAGTTTAAGCGAAACCTGTAGGAAAACCAGCAAATTTTGAAACATGACCTCTTTCGCCAACTCTTAATTACTCTGTGCTCTGTTATCACCATGACGAAATATACTTAGCGTTCAGAACAGGCAGACATATAGTAACAAACATACCTATAGAACGACAGAAAAAGTATGTTCTATAATTCTATTAAAGCCTCAGCTGCCGCGGTGCACAATAACCATCGGAAAATTCTAGAGCGTTATCGAAGAACTGCCATCGCATCCATTGTCCAGCATAAGTTTCGACAAGTAATTCGATGCTGCCTCATTTCCAATCGCTACAGATGACTCCTGAGTAGTGCATGGAGTAAGACGTTATCAACACCGCACGGTAAACATGGTAGAACCCTTGCGGAACTTACACAATTTCATCAAATTCTGATAGCGTCATAATTGCTTAATGGACTTCTTTTTCACAACACACAAGAGTGGGTATGCCCCGAAAACATGGGAAGATGTATAGAAAATATAGAGCACACATAGTACAAGAGAATCACAGAAATTCCTTCAAAATGCCGAGGAAAAGAGGATTGTAGAACAGAGATCACAGTGGAAGGGACGGAGCCGGCCAAAAACTGCTGGAGTGGCCACTGTGACTTCCATGAGCTTCATAGTGAGCACAACGAGGAATTAGTTATTATCCAATCCCGCAAAAGAAGAAGACTAGCCGTTATCTCAAGAGTGTCAGGTACCGCTCTGTGAAACCACGCCTACTAGTGAATAATGACATCATGGAGTCATGAAGATCTTCTAATATTTGACGCGGCGAACTGCAAGTGGCGACGAAATGCGTTTTATTCCTAATCACTTCCCTCTCTGTTACCCCTTTGCACATTTTCATCGAAGTTCTCCTTGTTCATTATAGGGTCTGCTAAGCAATTGAGTATGTGCTGCGCTTCTTGTCCACAAAGAAGAGAATAACTGAGAAACGTAGGCGTGGTGGAAAGGTTTGGAGGAAAGTAGGTTTTTACTATATCCATGAATAAATGCACCGTGTTCGGAAAGAGCGTGTGTAGCGCAATGGTTAGAGGTGCAGCCTCATACATATACATACATATACGTGGTCCTTGTTTGTTCGATACGACGTCGTAAATGCAAACTTCTCACCTTCCAGGAATTCGAAAATTGGTGCCGCAGTTATATGGAATTACGACAGCAACTTTAGGGATCGGTAGGTGAAACTGAGTGAATGAATAGGTCAAATATGCATCCTATCAACCTTGCTATGTTACGAATCGAATCGAATGCATGGCACACCTGAAAGCGTGGAGCCTTACTAAGCGCTTTATTCTTTATCTTTTATACTTGACCACTAACAATAGCTTTGGAAATACATGGTACAATCCGAGGTCCTTTTCACAACGATCATCATTTCATTGTACTAACGAGTATGGTTCAATTCTTATGTTTGTCACCATTAGTCACTCGGTATTATGTGTATACAAAGATGTCTCCGTTATTTAAAATTTGAAAGGAGTCAGAAGAAATTATCACCGAAAAAAATTAAGACAGCTAAAGTAAGAAAAGTGTTTTCTCTCTCACTATGACTATTAATTCTTCGTATTTCTTCGATTTGCTTCCGTTTTTCGTTCACTTTGAGAATTTTCACTCGGTTATGACAGGTCTTTTTCAGCTTTTCACTCAAAAGACGATTGCTAGTGGCCGATTAAAAGCAGATCAATCAGTCGGAAAACAGACTTTTGGTGTTTCTCATGGGACTACAGGTGAACACTCTTACTCGTTGTTGCTGTTGTTCGCGATACGAAGAAGAAAAATAATTGTTACCGTCACTTGGACGAAGTATGCGGTGTGAAAAAATGTGGGCAGTTCTTATATACATTAACCCTTATGGAGTTAAAACGAGTGTAGCACAATAGTTAGAGACGTTCTTCAAAACACGCGTACTCCTAGGTTCAAGCGCACACCTCGGACACACTAAACCTTCCATTCATCCCATCTTTATAAAATGGCCCTTTCTTAATGGGAGACTATAAGCACTAAATTTACACATCGGTAGGTTACTGCATATCATTTTATGGGCCAAATATAAGTATAATCACCATTATGACGTTAGGAATGGACTCAAATGCATTGTTCGTTCTGATACAGATATAGCATCACTGTCATCACGACAATGAGGAACTCACTGGTTGCCAGGTAGCGACATTGTAAAGCTCCTGTAAAGTTTGCAAGAGTTCGGAAAGAAATCTTGTCCAAGTAGTAAATTATCACTCAACTGGAAACTGTGTTGTGATCCTCAAGACCTTTCGTGCTTCGTGCATAGCGGACCATTCAAGCTTGCAAACTGCAATATGTGTACGGTAACTTTATTTGGCTAAAAGTCTGCTCAAATGCTTGTGGACGACATGAAAAAATGTTTTTCAAACAATCGCCGTATACCCTTGTACAAGATGATAAATGTAAGCATAGCCAGCAATGTGTTCACAGCGCTTCGAGCTACTCGTGGATACCATCTTGTCAAAGTAAAGCTGCAAAAAACCGTCAGTACCAAAAGTGTGATCACATCCGTACCACTCAAACAAGTGCAGGTCACTAAGCACTGCTCTGAGTGCAGCATGGAAGAATGAGAACTTTGCTATAACCATTCGTATCAGTCAATGATTAAAGGGGTTATGGTGTGTCATTTATCCGGTTTATCCGAATACGATTTCTAGCCGATCGTTTTCAGAAGCATCCCCAAAGGACAAGATACCAACGCTTAGAACGCACGAGAAGGACAAAACCGAAACGTTTGTTCTTGTTTTCTTTTGAAGACGTCCACCTTTTTGGTTCCGGTTATCAGAAATAGCTATTTCTATCTATTCAGTGCATCACACCACAACACATTTCTCACGGAATATTTCGAGAATGCGCAAATTACCCCAATGCCGTTCACACCACTTAATTTAACGGCTGCATTCAAACCGGCAGAAAAAGCGCCGTCCGTTCCACGATCTCCGGAAGAGATATGCGGAGTAAGTTGATAACTGTTCATTGTTTAACGAATAGACAAATGCGAGTTCGAGTTCATTGTTGCAGAACACACTCTACAATGTGCTCGATGATTTTCCGAACATGATTTTACCACCTCTGGTACGATGATTGAATTTCTGTAGATGTATGCAGGGAACATACAGACCTACACATATGGATGCATGAACACAGACACAGACACAGACACAGACACACACACACACACACACACACACACACACACACACACACACACACACACACACACACACACACACGTATACATGCGCAAATAAACGTGAATATGTACGTGGACACAACTGTATGCAAACATAAGGATTCGTACAAGCACACATACATATACGAAACAGAGAGTTCAAAACAGAAATAGGGATATAAATATAGACATAGGAAGAATCAAGGAGAAAAAAGGTGCTTCAACAAGGAGTTGTCTATGTTAATAGAGCAAAATAAATTAACAAGCAATTGGCATCAGTTTTCTCAATAACACCACTTCATATTCCTCATTTTTTCTATTATATCATTATTTCTTTTATTTTCATTTTTCGACATGTTTCTAATAACAACACGTGACTGGAATTCTTCTGCCTTGAAGTGCACTAATGATGACTTTCTTCCAGAAAAACATCGACTACTCATTACCGCATCTTCGTGAGCAAAATGTTCAGCGAGCACCTCCCGCACTTTCACCACAAGCGCATGATCGAGCGGTATGAAACAAATTTCATTGCTTTCATTCATTAGAGGAATTTTATCAGAAAGAAAGAAAAAACTTTATAAATTACAACTTCTGAGCAAATGATTTGTATGTGCAAAGCATAAAGAATTGATCGTTAAAATCTTAGATTCTAAGGGACACTAAGCATTAATGAAGATTTTACTTTACGCTTCCCATTACGTTTGAAGAGGGGTTGTGGTTTAAACACGTCTTTATTTCACTTATTTAAAGCATTTGCTTTGAAATGATCTCATCCTCAAGGACCGTTTCGTTGTGTCAGCTGGTGGCTTTTCCTATGTTTCGTGTTGTGGACCGCGGAGATTGAATCCCTCAGTAGTGTTACCCAAACTGAGAACATTTCTAGATTTTCCACTATGAAACTCAGGTGGAATTGTGCATATCCTAGATATCGTAGCAATTGTAGGCGAAACTTGATTAGCAAATAGGAATCTTTATTTGATCAACGTGGGCGCTCTCAACCGCTGGCGGAAATGAACTGGAACGGATTTCACAAATCTACTCGACTTCGCAAAATTTCCTGTAAAGAAATGACTAGGGCTTCGCAAAATTTTTTGCAAAGAAATGATTCGCTGAACATTTAAGTAAGTGCACTACAAAATGTCAGTGTTCGAATTCTATGTGGAGCTTCTCTGTAATATTAACAGGGAATAGCACTCTTGTTATGAGCATGACAAGGGAATTCGAAAAACCAATAGATTTTACACGTTTGAGCCAGATATGAGCCATGAAGAGTTGATCAATGGTTAATTTTCGCCATATAGAACATTATTAAATATCAATACATACTCTCTTTGGTGACTAGGAAGAGAAGGACAAGAAAGCAGAATATAATTCATCAAACCACTAAGGAGTCAAAAACTTTCGAGCTTGTCCTGTTCGTATCGCGAAGGTGATGTCGAAGGACCTGCAAAAAAAACTGCTACTGTCAAAGCCTTATGTTAGACTTGAACGTTGTTTCCAGTTCGATAGGCTGACAGGATTCCTTCACCTGCTCGCGCTTGATGTGGATGTTGAGAATCCGATACATGCTAAATATAACAGAAATTTTTCCTCAGTATTTAAAAATTTTAAAGTATTTCAGTTGACGCCTTGTCGGACGCGAGCCTTTCGCTTTCCGTTGGCTACCACTCAAGGAGAAACCCCAGTAGAACTCAGCGCACGCCATCGCGGAGGACTTGGTGTAAGTAAATGGACGAATGGATGAAATGTATGAAAGAGTGCATGAATGATTGAACGAATGACTGACCGACTGAATGAATGAATGAACGAACGAATGAGCAAATGAATGGATGAATGGATGAGTGAATGAATGAATGAACTGATGAATGAAAGAACGAATAAAAGAATGAGTGGGTGAATAGAGGAAAGAATGAAAAAACCATCCTTTCTTGCTTTTCTAATAGTTCGACATTGAGAAAATAGACGAAAGAAAACACCAAAATTTCCAACATTTACTCTGATTTTCAACAATCTTGCAAATTGTCAGTATACATAGTTTATAAGGGTAGAATTCTACGAATCTGGTCCCTGGCGTGAAAAAATTTTATAAAGGCATCTATGTCAAGGAGTTTTTACATTTTGACCAAAGCCTTTATATTTTTCCAAAGACCTGAATCTTCTTCAAATACTAGTCGTCATCTAAAGCTCTCTCGACAGGCATATGATTGCGCTGAATGCTAGCTTGTAATGGTCTATATTTAGTTGGACCGGGTTGATCCTCCACTTAACAGTGCTTTTCTATGCCTTTAGCGGGACGATAATCAAAACGGAATATCATTGAATTACTCGACAAAGTACTTGTAAATTCTCCATTCGTTCTTTTTGTGTGACAGATGGAGCTCACAATGAGCCCCAATAACTCTAAAAACATTAAGTATATCATACCTACTTTTCGCCTGCTCTTCATGGTAAGAAGATAGCAACAAGTACTTCGCCGGTATTCTCAGCCAGATTCTAGTGGCGAGACGTCAAACTCTTCGTTCTCTGTGGTTCCACTGAGGGAATGTACTGTAGCTATAGATCATAATTCGAGGCCTCCAAGTATTCTTCAGCCACAACAAGCTGGTAAACGAGCATTTAATTCGTTGATATTGAGAGTATCAACAATCATATAAAGATCAATTCGGAACGAATAGTTGTGGACGACGGTAACATAGAACTACATCATCGCAATAATTCTTTTGTAATCATAGTCATTCATATTCGACAATAAGAAAATTCCGCAGCGGAAAACTCGACCATTCCGATGGTCTGGTACTGTGTTCGCAAAAAATAAACATTTTCATCCAAGTTTTGCACCAACACGATAACCTGAAGCCATTTGCTGTTACAGAAAATAACGCCTGCACAGCTGGAAGACGAAAAGCTTTCCAAAATATCGGTTGAGAAGTTGCCACGATTGGAGCTTAATGGACAGGCAAGAGGTGAAATGGACGCAGGTACAGCGAAAACGACGCATGTGAATGAAACTCGCCCTCGAGTAGCAACACGACGTTCGAAGAAACGACGTAAAACGAGTTCGCTCCGATTAATGAAAAATTTGGTGCGTTGCGTCATCTGATCCATCAACAGCTAATGAAATTTTTAATCTAATTTTTATGCAGAGTGTGGCCTTACCTTGTTGTAAAGTCTACTTACATTAAAACGCTTAAAACTGTATATCATGATTTTTGCGAGCACGTAACAATAGTAATGACATCACTTCATACTTGATACTTGAACGGACCGTCCTCACTGATTGCGCAGGCCCCAGCATAATCTCCAATTTTCGGAGCTCTGCTGGTTTAACCATTGTATTCACCTGGAGTGCTGAGGTCAGCTTGGTTAAAATCTGCACCTGGTCGACACCACCACAGACAGTCGCTGCGTTTGCGGATCAGAGAAAGATTTATCACCATGCGACTAGTTTGATACCAGGATGATGGTCTATCCTGGTTTACTCCTAGCTGAGCTTCCTGCTGTAAACGCCGTACTCTTTCTCAGCTTGGGAGACCCTGCCGATGGGATGAATCATTCTCTGTGCATCGCAGCCCGACACCCAAGAGCAACGCCCAGCCACGGTGAGGTAGTAAACCGTTGGGAGGAATAATGATATTAATAATCATGATAACAAATGTGATTTTGACGGGCTTGAGAAAATAATCCTTCCGACCATTTAAGTTCTATGAAGCAAGCTCTACAAAAAGAGATCTCACTGTACCACTAATTTGACTATTCTTGAAGGATTTGATGTTTCCACAAAAATGAACTCAAAGTCGTGACGTCTTAAGTGAACGCACGTGCTTTATTACCTACTCCAATAGTTGAATGGGTTGTTTTCACGACAAACTATATGAGCCCCATCAAAATTCTCATTAAATTGCTATTTTGCTAGTTTAGCTAGCTATTTTCACTGATTTCCAACTGATGGATGAATGGGGAAACAGAAATACACCACTTGCGATGAGACTCACAATTCTAATAAGACGCATTGAAATATAGTGCGTTTTTGAAGAAAGTAGTCCTAATCGCTGCAGTCGAAACTCTAATGCAGCAGTCAAAGCGTCCTAATCGAAAAAATCCGACCCAATCGTAATAAGTAAGCATCCTGCAATTCAAAAGTGGATGCTCCAATTGAACAAGACGTGTCCCAATCTTATGTGCGCTCCAGAAGTTTCTCTAATCACCCACAGAGGAAAGCGATACCTCCGATCGGGTGGAGTTTCGTCAAAATCAGACATGGATTCCGTCGCTACCAATGACATTTCTTGGGATTCAATTTTCCATACGATTGTCGAACTCCCAGTATATGAAGGGTGGACAGCACCTGTTTGTATATTGAAGCGCATGAAGTAGATTTTTAAAAAACGCGCGCAATCCTAGCAGTCAACATTTCCATAGGATTTTCGGTTCTTTTTTAAAAAACGTTTCAGCGAACCTCAGTGTTCCTAATTTCCATCGATGTTTTGTTCTTGTTTCAGGTTACCTGAGGTGAAGAAAAGCCTTGAAAATCTAAAAGAACAGACAGTATCACTGTATTCATTTGTTCCTTAAAGAAGCATTGTATTCATCTGTTAATATAAAAGCCTTTTGATTAAATCGAATGCATCTGAAGTCTACCACGTCCGAAGATTTTTGTGTTTGCAGCGGTTTTTTTTCTGTTTGTGTCTTTGAAACCATCCCACTGCGTCGATCACAGAGAAAAATGTAAAGCTAGTGAAATTGGGGAATAATAGGTATTAGATCTATCATCTTTAGATCAATCCACAAAGAAGTGTAGCGAGAACAACTGATGGTTCTCGTCATGAAATGCTACTTTGGTGAAATGTACACTCACAAACAATACCGTGCCCATTCCGTCCATTAATTTAAAGACTGATCTAAAATGATGATGAATTGTCATGAAGACTTGCTTGCTCACCATCAACATGAGGGATGAATGTATGATTCAGCTGGCCGTATTTGTGGATAGGCATGCGGATAACGGAGTGGTAGAGATACTTGATCCTTGAATGGCCGGTCCTCAATAGTTGTGCGTGCACAGCATAATCTCCATTTTCGGAGATTTACTAGTTAAGCCACTGTGGTTTCCTGGAATCCCGAGGTCAACCTGGCCAAAGTCTGCTCCAGGCCCTCATCATCATAGGAAGTCGCAGCCCTTGAGGTTCAGAGGAAGATTTGCCACCATGCGACTTTGATACCATGATCGTGGTGGATTCTGGTATTGGTTTACTCTTAGCTAGGCTTCTTGATGGAAACGCCCTAGTCCTTCTCAGCTTGGAAGGCCTTGCCAGGAGATGAATGCCTCGCTGTACAACGCAGCCGGCACCCAGGAACACATCCCAGCCACATTAAGGCGGTAAACCGTTGGGAAGCGTGGTAGAACTACCTTTCAGTAATAAGAGTGAGCCCGTGATCCGACCTCTTATCATTCCTATGGGGTCGGGAAATACTAAGAAATACTATGCTTTTCTAGGGATTTCCTCCTGATCCGCAAATTATGGTATCTGTCTATAGTAAAGATCTGCGAACGGCTTTACACGACTATGTCAGGATTCCAGTGTAGGCATATGTGTGTACAACTTTCTTCAAACGAGTGAAGTTCTTCATTTGAACGGTGCTTCACTCGACTGGAGTGGATTCGATGCGACAACTAGAACCCACATTGCGAGAACGACCACCTATGGACCGTGGTCTAGGCTCAACGCCACAATGAAAAAACAGAAGTTCCTAAACAATTGAACAAACTTTTTATACCAATCTCAGGATAGCTTAGTCATTCAAGAAAACGTTGGTTAATCAACGAACATCCAGAATCAGAGAATCAGTCTGTTGGAAAATTGCTGACGAACTCTGTGTAAGCATTTCGACTGCTTGCAAATATTTAAAAAAATGGAACATCTACAAATTGAGTGACATTGAAAAAATTGAGTGACGTCTTGACGCATCGTCATCGCTTCTTTTGCGCAAACAGAATGACCAGTCTCTCTAGTGAAATGCGATGAGGTATGAATCCCCTATGACAACCGGTGACAACTGGCTGACTGATTCGACTTCGATGAAGCCTGAAGAACGGTGAACAGAAAGTGATCGACCTTTCTCGATCAGATTACGAAAAACTGCATCTTACACCACACTTGCTGGATTCCTCGCCTACCTTTTACTACTTCCTCAAGTTTGACAATTTCCTTTCCGATAAATGCTGCACAACCCATAACAAGGCTGAAACTGTCTTCTCTGCCATTTCACAGCCTCCTGAACCTCGAAATTTATGTAACCGGAATGAATAGATTCGTTGCACGTTCGAAACAATATTTGGACTCTAACAGTTCTTGTGTGGATTAACAAAGTTGATTATTAGTTAAAGTAAGCCAATTTGAAGATTCTCGAGTGATGCATTGATTTCCGAGGAACATAGTACTTTTGATAGAACACCAAAAGCCTCATTTCTATAGTTGCATTCCTCAATTCACTATCTACTGCCTGGCTTACCGTAATAAATTCAATTCACGAATAACAGGTTTGAGACTATCAGTGCCAAGACTAGTTTTTACGGCGATCCGAGTTGTACTGATTTCAACGATGTTTTCATTTCTAACGATGGAACAAGAATGAAAAAGCATTGTTGTGAATGTGTGTTTGTGTTGGAATGGCCAGTTTTCGTCTATGATGGTGTTAAAGCTCCGATTTGAATTGCCACTACAGCCACAATCCAGGACTATTGCAGTTTTTACTTGTTTATTTACTGCCTACTGCAATTTTCATGGCACAGCATTACGCGAAATCAACCAGAACGATGCTGAAGTATTCGCAAAGCTTTGACCCTAGCAAGATCGAACCACGATTTCCCTTTCCGAAGGCTCGTGTATTACACATTACTCCACGGAGGCCCTTGCTCTGTGTTTTTTTTTTCAGCTAGTCTTCTGTCTACCAGTGCTCATCAGCTTCTATGAGCTTCCTATCTATTAGTGCTCTACAGTTCCGATGAGCCTCCGTGGCATATTGTGTAATGCGCGAGCTCCCTGAAAAGGTAACAGTGGTGCGATGCAGCCCTAGGTCCAATTTTTGCGAAAATCTCAGCATCGTTGCGGTTGATTTTGCATAACATCCTGCCGTAAAAATTCTACTAGACAGTAGTTAAAAAAGTAAGCATTGTGGCTTCGACTGCAGCTTCAGCTTAACTGGGTTCAACGCCGATGTGGGCTTACCAGTTCAATCCCGTTCACAGATGCCTGCTGAAGGCATTGGTAGGTAGAAAACTAGTCCAGAGAAACGCAGATCAAGGCCCTCCGTGGCGCGGTGTGTAAGGCGCGAGCCCCGGAAAGGGAAATCGTGGTTCGATCTTGCCTGAGGTCGAAGTTTTGCGAATATCTCAGTATAACTCGCATAATGCTGAGATACCCTGCCATTAAAAAGAATGGGCAGTAAATAAAAAGGTTAAGATTATCTCAGTATAGTTGGGGTTGTCACAGTTTTGTTGGACAGATTGAACCACCGAAAATATGATAAGGATCTTTTACTCTATTGGGAAGAATCCACAACTTATGAGATTCTAGCTGAGAAAATCTTGCCACATGTTACTTTTCACATCATCAAACAGCACATTTTGTGCGAATCCCAAGACTTCTTCCTTTCGATTACGTTACTTGCATCTCTCGCTCATGAAGGTTGGGTCCACTTATGGAATCGGCTGCTGCTTGAGGATTTTGGTCTTCTTTGCGAGCATCTCTAAATTTTGACCGAGTATTTATTTATGAGATCTTATAAACTGATCTTCTTAAGCTGACGCGAGGTTGGTACAGATCTTCGTTGTCGTTGTCGTTGTCGTTGTTTTTGATGTTATTGATCGATGGCTGACGTTTCGGCGACTTCGCCTTCCTCAGAGCCGTGATGTTACGTGCGGGACTATATCAACTATTTATGCCGAGGTTCATAGAAAGTCGGTCTTTCGAGTTTTGACCGAGTAGTTTCTTCCAGTAACAATTTCCCAAAGAGAATGAAGGTTTGATTGGTCAGGCTTGGGGTCGAACCATTTCTTAGCGCGTATTGAGCGGAATCGCTTTCACTGCGATTCTTTCGCCTCCATTACAGTATTAGATAATTTATTTGGGTTATTAGAATGACACTTCATGTGCATGAAGTTTGAAGTGCAGACACAATGTGTACCATGTTCACTGTAACAAGTGGTGCTGTTTAAAGTTGAGAAGATGGAGCTCTTCCAACTTTTGGATCACTGAAGCTAAATATGAGGCGCCTTTTCCATTCTCGCGTAAGAGAATTGCCTTGTCGGGAAAGTGCTGTATACCACATTCTTTCAAAAGTTACTACGTGTAACACAGTGATTGCAGATATCCTGCAATACACATGTCGTGGGTTCGATCCCACACCCATAGCAAACTAAGCATGCCCTCCATATGAGCTCAATAAATTGCTACCAGACCCATGTAGAAGTGAAAACACTGTCTAGACAAATCTGTAGGCTATAGCAAGTGATAACATAGGCCAGAAATGGATTCCATCACCTGTACTATCTTACGAATGGAGTCAAATGCACGGTTCATCTTGATGGGATGGGCGGACGCCAAACGTTTTATCCTTTCACGATTTATCCCTTCAATCATTTATTTCCAAACAGGAAAAATGAAGAAGAAATACAAGCGTTTAGTAATCCATCCTCATATAACAAGCAATGTTTGAAAGTTTTTTTTTGAGAAGCTCAACATTGTTAGAAAAATAGGAAAGCAACAGGTAGAATTCATTTGCATTTTTATTATAAATGCTTCTGTACATTTCAGAAAAATAAGAACCTTTCCGCCAACTACGGTTCCGTCGGATCTCGTCCAATAAAATGATCTCTTCTATGGTAAACATCTACAGGAACTCCTTGCAAAACCAAAAACTAATGGAAACGATCCTTCGTTTCGCCTATCTCTCAGCTAGTTCTATCGATCAACGCCATCATCAATCACCCGTCAACGGGATTGATCTAGGGAGCCCAAATTGGTAACGAATCAAGAAACCATTTTCGTAGTGATCAATGCTTTGGAACATCAGCTACAATGACAGTGAATCGATACAAAACCCGTCTTTGTAGCAAATATTAATCAACTCGTGCTGATCGTTTGATACATGTTCTCATCTATCGTTACATGTCTTCCTTTTCATATGATTCCTCGCATTTTTCACAGCCGCAGGATATTGTGACGCCAACTTTGACGACACCTGTGGTAAAAAAGGATAAAGCTCTTGGCGTTGATCAATCGCTGAGGGATGCGCCATGAATTCGACTTCATTAAGTATCGTTGGAGGTGACTGCGTGCACATGCGGCCTTTACAATGACTCGCGGTGGCCTATCGATCTATTGAGCCAGTGCTGCGCTCCTCCCAGACAAGTCTGGCACCAATTTGCCGACCTCTGAGGGATGGAAAGTTTGGTGGGCCATGGGTGCGGAAATCGATTCCACGAGTGTGTCGCATTGGTGCTTCCAACCATTGCGCCACACGCGACCTTACACCTATGATATCACTCATAAATGTCGGCCGATGACGTATGTTATCGTAGAAGATTTTGATCGCATTACGAACATAAATATTTTGGAAAAATGAGCAGTTTAATATGTATTTAAATCTTTCAGCTTACACGAGGTTGATAAAGAGATTTACTCGTCTAACCTTTTGACGACTTCGTCTTGATCAGAGCCGATCGCTCGAGTTGATGGTCCACAGCTGCTCAACTTCTCGATGTGGCGTCCCCGCAGTCGTGCCGAGACGGATTTCTCTCAGTGGAACGGTGCTTGAATGAGGCATACTCAAAATTGAGCAGTTTGTTTATAATCGGCTGAACAAATCTTTTAGCTATTAAATCTGTATGGCTTTAAATAAGTCACTTGTTTTTATAGTTTTTATTTTTATTTGAACACATATTGTGGGGTTCACATCAGTTATTCCATTCGCTCCGCTCCGTTGCATCCGTCATTCACGAAACTTTTCGAACTCTTACTGCGGGTGGGTCGGGCCAAAGCTCGAGGAATTTTTGTCTTCTTCATGAATATCATTGAATGCAGCCAAGTAGATTCCTTCCGGAACCCTGATAGAGGCTTACATAGGTAATGAAAAAGAGTACCTACTTATTTGGTACTTGAACGGTCCGTCCTCACTTGTTGTGCAGGCCCCAGCATAATCACCATTTTTCGGAGATTTGCTAGTTAAAGCCACTGTGGTTCCATGCAATCACGAATACAGCCTGGCCAAAGTCTGCCCCAGGTCGTTACCACCACAGGCGAACGCAGCCCCTGTGGATCAGAGGGAGATTTGCCACCATGCAACTTTGATACCAAGACGGTGGTGAATCTTGGTATTGGTTTACTCTTAGCTAGGCTTCCTAATGGAAACGCCGGACTCCTCAGCTTGGGAAACCCTGCTAGGGGATGAATCGCCCTCTGTACATCGCAATCCGACGACCAGGAACACCTCCCAGCCACGATTAGGCGATGAACCGTTTGGAGGAACTTCCTTATAGGTGTATGTAATGCAGTTGTTGGAGGTGTTTTGAGATTCACATGATCGCTTCTTCTCAAAAATGCAGTTACAGTGAAAACCAACAGAAGAGTGTTGAAGGGCTCTGATAAGAAGATGAGAATCGAAACACTTAAACTCATTGGCACTTATTATTTGTTTCTTTATCATTTACTCAAAAGCATCGCTTTAGACGGTTAATCAGCAGACGTTAAGTATTAGAAAAGTTCTTTGTATGAGTAATCAGCAGATTTACACGTAACTGTACTAGGAACTGCCTACGATATGTACTGCTTCTATCGCAAGTTAGCAGATGTCTTGAGGAATCAATTCACCTGCCAACAGTAGACGATGATTCGCGACAGCAGTGCGATTTCTTTACCACCTCCAGTTCTTTCAAAAGAACTTAGTATTCTTGCTGAAATCCTCCCATAATATCTGTGTTGTTGATGATGGATTAGTGCCAGCTCAAAAGTTCTACTGTAAATAACTCTACGGATTCAATGTGTTACTACAAATAGCTGCGGTTCAAGCGCGTGCGGCGCATTGGTTAAAAGTGTCTTGCAGTATATAGTGGGCCAATTTCTGGCCCGATGTCGTGGTGCATGTTCACCAAGCTTTCCAACCTGCGTGGTCGACAAATTGGTACCAGACATATTTGGGAGCACAAAAGTACCGACTTGATATGAGTTGGTCGAGCATCATAAGCTACGAAATAAAGATATGTGTTCAACCATTTCTACGACACTTGATGAAGCCGAATGCATAGTGCACCTCTCAAGGACTGCTTAGTGCCGAAAATTATTAACTATACCCTTTAACTACGTTTTATTAGGTATCGTCCTGTCATGCCATTTCCACTCATCTCAAGGAGATTAACTACCGTTCTTCAAATTCTAGACCGATGTCAGCAGCGCAGAAAAAGATTCAACTTCATTGAAAGCCGGCTTAACGACACAAGAAGATACAACTGTTAGAATAGTGACGATGGACGACATAGGAACTGAGAACCCAAATTGAAATTCGCTGGAATACAACTTTTCTTGTACTTTTTAGAATCAAGCATTAATTGTTTGGAATGTATCGCCTTGCCGTTCCGTACAATTAATAACAATAAGAATTTTTTTGCTTGTCGTGGTACACAGTGTTCACACAAATTTTTATTTCTAGTCTTCTGACACTGGTGGCACAGCGTCAATGTTGGCCCGATTTGTTAACGTAGGTCGAAGAAGTTATGACTCTTGAAACTTCTTTATTCAAAAGCTGGGCACAACATTCTAGCCGAGGACATGAGCCGTGGGACCGCCCGGTTCCCAGTCGTATGGATATTCTTGCACGTGATTTGACGCAAGTGCTCGTCGCATTATCTGCAAATTATCCGTAGAGCATCAAATTATCACCAAACGATCAGCAATAAAGAGTTCTGTCTAACCGATTTAACAACAGCCACAACAGTGGGATCACAAAATGGAGGTGCTTAACACCTAATGAATGCATACGACACACTTACCCCGTATATCATTTGATAGTTGGGTGCATCGTAGTACTTTAAGCCGTCGATGTACTGCAAGGCTTCAATGTATTCACGAGGGCACGGTGGTGGAAACAGTTCCATGATGTACATTGGTTGACGCACACGCTTCTTATATTCACCCACCTAAAGTGGGTTACATAATGGGCATTGGAATCATTTGGTCTATTGCTAACTAATGCGGTGTCGTCACGCGTACTTGATTCATGTCTTGTATTTCTTTCCACGGAAGTCGACCATAAGTCAATTCGACTTGCATGTACAACCATGTCTCACAGTCATCCTTCCTGAATAATTAAAGTCTTTCCTAACAATATCTATCAGAATATATCAACCAGTGAATTAATCAATTTACCTGCATAGTTCTCGCTGAAGATGACACGAAATCGGAGCGTAGCGCACTGTTCCACGAAAACCGGCAGCTTGCCTAGGCTTTCGGATAATGCCCTGGAATTCAGTTATCCGCAAGATGAGTTATGTTATTCATTCATTATCGAATCAACAATGTTCTAGCGATAGCCGACGAAGTCGATCAGTTCAGATGAACTCCGATTATAGACTGCCCTCGGTGTCAACTCATAAAATTTATCGACTATCGAAGTTTTCAGTGGAATACGTGCTTCATTCATGAGTTGATAGAAGTCAGCAGGGATTTCTTGTCAAGAAACTGCCATCGAAAAATCTCATTGAAAATGATCATAACTGGAGATATTGAGGAATAGCTTGTGGACTTGGGCTTTATCAACTCTCTTCAGTTATCTGACAGACTCTAACGAAAAGAAATAGAGCCTCCATTTGTTCATGATAATCAGCGATATTGGATATACTAAGAGATAACAGTTCACACGTGTGTGTATGTGTGTGTTTGTGTCTGTATGTGTCGGTGTCTCTGTGTGTGTCAGTGTCGGTGCCGGTGTCGATGTTGGTGTTAGTGTCAATGTCAGTGTCAATATCAATGCGTGCGTACTCATCCATACTTTTGTCTCTCAACTTCTTCGAGCAGCTCGTTCACTTTTCTGTTAATTCTATATTTTTTTGACACATTTACGAGCTCCACATCGGAGGTGCATAATTTTTAATTATGTTAGTTAACGTAAAGAACGGAAGAAACTGGGATTTGGTAGCTGTCATCAAAGCAAACGAAACAAACAAAACCTCCGCAAGTCGATTTAACGACGAAAATCCCATGAAAAATTCAAGGAATTGAACTGTTACTACTCCTTGACGAGAGAACGAACTTCACTAGTAATGTAGATTGATTCTTCCACTAAGGTTTGAAGAGACATTATTTAAGAGATGAAAGTGTTCACGGTATCAAGAGGCGTCTAACACTATCACGGAAAGGTTCCAGACGGAACAGTAGTGCTAAAGCAGCCGAGCTAGCAGCAGTTAATCTTTCTGGTAGGAACAGTACTACGTACACAGTACAGTTAAACGACTTAGATGTGAAGCATCATTCTCACCTGATCATTGGTGAATTTTCTGCACATACCAAAGTCGAGAATGTACACTTTACGCAACTCATTTAGTTCAGCACGACCAATGGTATAATTACCGGGCTTAACATCACGATGTAGATAGCCGATATTGTGAAGATCTGAAGAACTGAAAATATAGACCGCTTTGTAGTAACTCATCGACGTTGTCCTTGGTCTTCATGTACATCTAAATATCTATTAACATTGTAACATGTTTAGCTTCGTGATAGGAACCAGCTATTTGTCGGCATATCATTTTCCTGAAGTCCTCTGACGAGCCTCGTGAAGATGGGGTATGAATGATGGCACCGCTCAAACATGCAAAAGTTTATGGCTGATAACTCCTTTAACAACAGTGCTGCTATACTTATCATTTTTCACGAATCTCCAAGATTCATTCAGCGTAAACTTTGAAGAAAAAGTGGTTCGGCCAGCTATGGAAATGAAATGTTGTCACTAAAACAACTATTGATTGATAGCCTTTCCTAACTGTCATTAAGGTGTTTCAAGTTGTCTACCTTTTCTACACAAAGAAAGAAAGAAGGTTATGTTCTACGGCTTCGATATCCTCGACCCCGTGTAATGTCCGAATCCCGTCTTATTCAATTTAACGAAACCCTTGTGTGCAAATTGGTAGTACCCTCAGCACGCCCTTCGACGCTAACAACATTTCGCTCTGCCATGCTAAATAATATTACCTTCTAAGGCTTCTAGGCATTGAATTCCACATGAAATCGCACATCCAAGTGTCATATGCCCTCCAGGACCTCCGCGATTCAAATCTTGTAGCGACTTACCCACAAGGGTCATAACCACCTGAAATCGTATCTGAGAGCTCCCAGTGTCCGTACCGGTAAAAAAGGAACGCACATAATTGAAATTTCCATATCGTCCTTTATCTTCGATTCTGCAGAAATGTCTCGAACCACGTTTTGTCAATTCCGTCAGCACGAATACTTCCATTTTCAACACCTATAACTTTTAAAAGATCTAGCAGAAATACAAATGCCGTTCAATGCTAAACTGCGCTCCAGAAGTTACTCCCATTGATGGGACAGGTGAGTAAGTAAGTAAATAAGTAAACAGATACACATTCTTGCGAGCATCAAAGCTAAAGTTTTAAAAATTCAGAAAAGAACATTTCTCGGATATTGTCACTAAAGGAACGGTATGAAGAGCCACCTTCCTCTACGAACCTGAATCTGCTCGGCCACCCCTTCTACTTTGAGGGCGTATTGACCAGTGGGATCTCGACAGCGGTATACGGCTCCGAAGCCACCTTCACCAAGCTTCTTCTCAATCGTCCATCGCTCTACCTGAACAAACAATTCGGCTTGTGTAAGTCGGCTACAAAATAGCACCATGTTGGAAAAGAGGTCCACCTGTGCTCCTGGTTGAAGTTGAATCAATTCCTGCGCCATGATTCGTCCTTCGCAATCAGAACTTGCTTATGTGACGTTGTGGTAATAAGTGAGGTCAATACCAAATGGTAACCTTTTATATGTAGCCTATCCGTTGATACAATGATTAGTCTGTGATATAGCTCTTGTTGTTCGTTATCAGTCAAATAAAAGCTGTTATTGACCTTGTCATGGATTTTTCTTCTCCTGAGAAGGTTCTTAGTGTTGTTGAAGAAGTCGTCCGAACTTGACAGAACGGATCACAGAGGATTCGGTCTCCTATCATTTAAGGCAACAACTTCCTAATCTTTTTATCTTCTGTCCGGTCTTAGTCATCCAGAGATAGGATTTTATCCATGATGCGCCACTACTTTGTGCAGTCCTTGTCTTTTCTCTTTTTAAACCAGTGACTTGAAGAGGTTCCCGTCGTTGATTGTATGGATCGTGCTCACACTAGAACAGGTGCTAATCTGAGGAATTGCATAATTATCGTATTATGAAGGCATAAACTTGTCAACATCTGCTTTTTTTGATGGATGTGATTGACCTTAACAGTAATTGCGCCATCGACTTGAAGGTTTAGCTCCAGCATACATTCTGCAAGGAGCAGACCACTTTTTGCCAAAATGCAATCAGTGCATCCTCATATTCTGTGACTAGGTCCGTTATTCTCCGAAAAGTGAATAACCCTAGAAGTTTTCTCACTTCTCAGGTCAGTCATCAAAACAAACGTTAATAATTCCTATATCCGTTTACGTTTCGAATTTCCTTCTTCGGAACATGTCACCTCTATGGCCACCAGTCCTACTTTGACTGTTGTCGATGTTCACAGTAACAAGAGCAAATGCGTTGTATGCTGCGAATCACATCCTCTATGTGATTGCTAAGTTCAGACTTACCAACTATTCGTCTACGAAGACATGGCTTATAAAAGACCGTACACTGCCCGCTTATTAGCAGATTTTTTTTTGCTAAGGTAGCGATGATTGCCGGTATTCGCTTACTCTAGCTATTATTCAGGCGGAAAGTTTCAGCTCGGGTAACTTTGCTACTGCTTGCGTTGTAAAAGTCGCCTGAAAAGGATTCCTTTTCTAAATTAATAAGTGTAGCAAATGAGTTTTGTCAAATAAAATTTGGCAGAACATCCGAATTAGACATGGCTCTAGTTAAGCACAAAATGTTCACCCGATAAACGTTTTGTGACAAACTGAACCACCAGAATAGTTACGCATTGAAGTAAATGCATGGGCCACTTGCATGGTATATTTCTTTGGGCAGGAAAGAAGTTGTTAACAGCAGGACTTGTATTTATTTACTACAATACTGGCCAACATCTCGGTGGTTTTGCCGAAAGGTTAAATTAACACGCAATCTACTCAGCCAAACTCTTTCATAACCCTAGGAGATCAAATTTATTCACTCGAATAACAAACAGTTCCATATGAACACTCACCACTTTGTTCTTTGTGTGCCTTCTAGTTATTTGGTAGAGACGTGCCGCATAGAGTCTCTACATCGATGAGAAATGTGCCTGGCTCAGGTAATAGAATTAGCCCGAAGTATGGTGCAAGGTAACGCGTGGTGAGAAGACACTCCTCCTTGTGTCTCCTTTTTGGATCAATGCCAAAAACCCTACAATGAACAGCAGGGACGAATGCCCGGAGGTCATACGCGACCTGATCCCGTACGTTCGCATCGATTTTTGATGTGGGATGGCGCAGTCGTCAACCACATGCGACTATAATCAGCTGTTCTAAACTTCCTCATTGGAAGTCACGAAAAAGCGGTGGGTTTTTCGAGAAGTTGTTGATCGTGTAATTACCAAAGAGTCTTTCGTCTTTGTGTAAGTGTTATTGAAGCGTTTGGCCTAGTAGATTGTATATCAGTATACCCTTCCAGGCTCTGAAGAAGGCGATACTGCCGAAACGTCAGCTAGCGTTGTATTGTATTGTGTTTTTATGGAAGTAAATGTATGCTGTTTAAAAACCTCGCGATTGCTGAACAAGAAAACGACACATTCATACTCCTCCTTGTGGTTCATTTTTGGACTTTCAGAATCTATCCGAAAGACTGCGAGAGTTTTACACGCTGATGTTCTGGATTCCTGGAAAAAGATAGTGACTTCTATTTCAAATTCCTCGTTATTTCTAAGCACCGGAAACCGCCTAAACATCAGCCAGTATTGTATTGAATAAATCTTGTTGTTAACAACTTCGTCTCTGTTGAAGAAGAAAACGCTGACTTATTGAGCAATACCAAGATTAATAGAAATCCTGCCCTAGAAGGTATTATTCTTTGTTTTGACTAAACTGTTTTTTGTAACTTAGAGTTTCATTACGACAGCTTCGATTTTCTCACGCTATAGTTATAAAAGCATAAAAACAAATCGATAGTCGTAAAGATTGTTGCAAGTTTCATTAGCCTTTTGAGAGTTTTTCCAATGCTGAATAATTCTGGACGACTTCTCATCGTCTGTTTTTCTTTAATTTGACAGCTTTCTCAGTGATTTGGGAAGATCTGTTATTCAGTGGAGAATTCACGTGCATTGTCTTCAAATCGTAGCCATTCATCTTAATTGTGGACGTTCTTCACTGATGTCTATGTCGGGCTTTAATAATAGGAATATGTACCATAGAAAGCTAGCTTTAAAGCTTAATGCACTATGCTGTATAAATAAAAAAGAGGATAAAGCTCTCGGCGTTGATCAATCCCCGATGGATGCGTCCTGCATTCGACTTCATTAAGTATCGTTTGGAGGTGGTTGAATGCATATCTGGTCTTTACTCTCGGTGGCCTACCAATGCATTGAGCCAGTACTGCTATCCTCCCAAACAAGCCTGGTAACAATTTGCCCAGCCCGGAGGGGTGGACGGCTTGGTGGACCATGGGCGCGGGGATCGATTCCATATGGGAGTGGCACTGGCGCCCACAACCACTGCGCCACACGGGCCCTACTATATAATATAAAGACATAGAGACTATATAAGAATGGATTTGAAGCTTTTAAATAGTCATTCGAATACATTTCAATGTCCTTGCTTTCACAAGAGAAGGCTCGTCAAGGCTCAAGAATATTATCCTTTTAAGACACATTTGTTTTTTTTATTTAGCTAGTTTGATAAGACGTTTCCATTTTGAGTCCAATGAATGTCATTCCAGGCTCATTCACAAACCGTCACTACAGCAGTGTTTATGGATCCGTGGGCACGAAGAAAAGTAGAAATGGGATCTCATAAATGATGGCGTGTTTCCTATAATTTTGACATAGGTTTATTTCTAGCTAGAGTTTCCAAGTAGAAATCGTGGACCTTTCGCTCAGGCTAGGTGAACCTTAGAAATCCACACCATGCTATGCAGTTTTTCACGCCTCTGACGCGCTAAACCATACAGGGAGGTAGTGAACCCTATTACAAACATTTTTATAATGTTAGCAGTTAGTCTAAATTTTTTGACCAGTGTATCGTTTCCCTTTTTCAATACAGCTTTAAAATATTTTTAAGAGCTATTGCAATTTTATTTACGTACACAATTAAGCACAGAAGAATTCCACATGGTCCCGGATCCGGACGCAAGAAAGCCATTTGTATTCTTTTTCAAATCTTTTCTCTTCAAGACGAAAGTTTTTGGTAAAGCATATGACGAAGGTACAACTAAAATGTAAAGTAAAGTAAAATGCGTGTTCGATTCGATAATGACAGAACAGTTTCTCGAAGAAGCTATTGATTATTCTTGTCGCAGGTTAATAAAAGTCTGCTTGAAGAACTATCAATTGGCTATGTACTAGTTAGTATGGTACCACTGCTGCAGGATCCACTGCTTGCCCAAAGAAGATCAAACTGGAGGTGGGTATCGATCAACATCTATTCTCCACGAAGGCGCACCGCCGAGTAAAGTCCTCATTTGAGCGGGCTCCCTCCACCGGATTCAACTCGATGCGACAGCAACAAGCTGTGGGCCATCGATTCGAATCAGTCCCTCTCTGGAAAAGATGGGACGTCGAAACGTTAGCCGAAGAAATCTTTTAATCAATCTCGTGTTTGCGGAGTAGTCGAAGGAGGTAATGCTATTACAGTTGATGTTGGCGAATGATGAGGAGCGACAACAACATGAGTGACACTCAATGGCTCCATGTTGTGAAGGAGAGAGGTAATAGAGTGATGGCAGTTGTGACGGTGTCAGTGATGATATCCTCCATATGAATTCATGTGTCGACATAATTTCTATTCGCTCTCTAGGGTGATGTTCAGTTGGAAAGTACAAGTATATTAGAAGTGAGAACAAATTCAGCAAATGCACTATTTCATCTTTTGGGCTAACGCTTAGAGTCCATAGTCTATATACAGATGACCTTGGCCCATATCGAGTGGTGGCCTTAATCCATTGAATAGGAGTGGCACTCAACTGCTGAATGTGGTGAAGTGCGGCCGATGATGGTGCAGAGAAGCGTTGAAAGGCAGCGTCGGCGGTAATGGTAGTGACGGCATTGATGCTAGCCATACGAATTCACATATCGACGTCGTCTCTGTTCGGTGAAAATGAACCAAAATCGGCACACAGTTGACCCTGGCCCATGTCGAGAGGTGACCTTAATCCGTTGTATGGAGAGTGCTGAGGAATTATTGTATATTGTGGAATGACGCTGATAATGATGGGAAGGTGTACAGAACGCCACTGGAAGTGACGTTGATGGTGATGACGGTGACGGTATTGATACTACACGCATGAATTCATGTGTCGATGTCGTTTCTATTCGTTCTTCTAGTTGATGTCCTATCGAAAAATTCCGATAAACTAGACATAGTGCACAGTTGACCTATCCCCATTATGAGGCCTGCTGATAATCCATAGTACGGAATGAATAATACTTAGTTGTTGCGCATTGTGGAGCGAGGGCCCGTGATGAGAGAGAGTGGCACAGAATGGGGGTGGAAGAGAAGTCAGTGGCGATGACTGTGGTGGTATTGATGTTATCCAAATGAATTCATCTGTCGATGTCGTTTCCATTCGCTGTTACAGTTAAT